CGTAGGTGGGATTTGAACCTTAGACCTGCTACTTGGAGGATGACAACCCAACCACTACACTAGGATCGCCATCCTCACATAATTTTATTAAAAACATAATATAAGTATGAAGTATATAGTTAACAGATAACTAAAATAGTTAGTATACAAAATCTGGATTTTTATTAGATAATAAAAATAATTTTAGAGGTATACATAGTACTAATATGTATTTGTAAATATGCACATATATAGATGTGCAGAAAGAATTATTTTTATATATAAAAACAATAGAGTGTAAACTATTATAAGATAGTCAGAATGTTTTTCTATATGTCAAAGTTTTGCAAGTATTTTGTTATTATATAGTATTATTCATTATATAAAATATAAATAAATATTGTGTTGTATTGAATAAAAAATTATAAACAACAATACAGATAATATATTAAACTTTTCATGTTATTAATAAGAATAATTTAAGATTATTATAAAAAGAAACTCCATCATTAAGAATTTAGGTTTATTGCTTACTAAACTAAATTTTTTTAATAAAATTAAGAAATTTATTAATTATGAACTAAGCTCTTTATCTACCAGTTTTTGATAAATTTGAGATTTAACATTTTTTTATTTATATAATAGTAAAAGAATAACTAGTTACAATATTAAAATTTTATTTTTGTAAAAAAAAATAAATAAAATAAATGCTCTTTTTTTTATTAATTATATTTATAACATAAACAAAATGTAACAACAACATAAATGAGAAATGATTTTTATATATTATAAGTAGATATTTAAATCGAATATATAGAGGCAATTGTTATCCAACAATATTAATAAATATAAAAGCAAAAATATATTTAATATATTTAATGTTATTATGATAATACAAAATTTAGCTATAAAATTGTATTATAAAAATTTATATTGTTTATGATTTTTGAACTTAAATTTTCATTTATTTTAATCTTAAAAATTTACTTAATTGGTTCAGATTCATGTAAATAGAATCAAAGTTTACAAGATTCGAATTCATCTACATGTATATCTGTAATTTTTCTTGTATACTAATCCACTTAACAATATAATTTTGATGATAAGAAAAAAAATATATATAAACAACAAAAAAATCAAATAAAATAAATACAATAACTATTATTAGCAAATAATTCTATTATTATATATTAACAAAAAATTACTACAGCAATAACCAAATTTACAATAAATACATAAATCACAAAAAATAATAAAATAACCAAATGTCAACAATTAAAAAAATAATAATAATAATAAAGATATGAGCAAGGCCTCACCTTAACACCAAATAATAATAATAATAATAATAAAATTGAAGACAAATAATATATATATAAAATTAAATAAATTTTATTTATAAAAGAAAAAAAAAAACTTAAGTGATATATATATACTACGTTTCTGGTTTGAGCGTGACAACGTCGTGCAGCTACCCTAATTGAAAGTTTATTACATCAAACGGTTATTTGCTGTGTTATTGTTCTGGCAGTTCTTGATTTTGTTGGCTAAAAGTAACGATCAAAATTTCTGGCCAACGTAAGTGAAAATTGTTTCCTGGCTAATTTTGTTATTGTGCGAGCCTATTTCTTTGAAAATTTCTATTTTGGAAATAAAAAAGTTAAAAAGTTAATTCCAACCATAAATTAGTAAACAATTATGTAATGCGGGCCAAAATTTTGCAGATCCACGGCTGTTAGCCAATCAAAGTCGAGGATCTGCCAGGACAATTTTGTTGCGGCAGCTATGGTAAAAAAAATCTATATTGATAACGATAGCTGATAGGATAAACATCATCAACCAATTAAAGCTCGTTATCTTTTTTTTTTTACGTATACATATATAAACGAAAAAAAAAATTACACATTAAGTCATCACCTCATCTTGCACGATAAGAAACGCGGCTACAAAAAAATAATTTAATATTTGTAAAAAGACGAAAAATATTCCCGCCAAAAAAAAAAAAAAAGAATTGACAAAAAAATATGTTCAAAACACTTACCGGTGCAATATCTAAATCAACCTTCGCAGCTTTTCCCACCCGTACTAGCCTTTTGACTCTCTCTAACACTTCACAACGAGGATTTGCCACAAAAACAATATATGTGTCTAATGTTTCATACACCTCTAACGAACAAGGACTTGAAGAACTAGGCTCAAAATTTGGTAAAGTTGAATCTGTTCGTATGCCGAGGGATTATGAAGGCAGAAGTCGTGGTTACGGCTTTATTGAATTTTCGCAAGAAGAAGATGCTGCAAAAGCTATGGAAGGGCTCAACGGATTAGAGTTTGAAGGTAGGGAACTGAGAGTAGCCGAGGCTCGCGGTGGATCTGGTGGCCCTCGTGGTGGATTTGGTGGTTCTTCACGTGGTAATGGCTTCGGGAGAAGATTTGATGGTCGTGATCAGTATTGAAATTTGAGTTCTTAGATGATAATATATTTGGGAACGTTGAAAATATGAAATGCTCTGCGAGAACTTTATAAAAATGTTACCTACACTTGTTTTTATTTTTAATAAAGAGATTCTACATTAAGATTCTTTTTTGCATTGATTATTATCGAAACATTGTTAACTATTGCGATGCAATTATTTATTTTTTTAAAAAAATTTGTCTATAAACCTAATCCTTTCTAGTTAAGCTTCACCAAACCCAAACAGGATCAAATTTTAGATAGGTTTAAGTTCAGTTTGAAATTCAAACCAAACTCAAACCTAAACTATTTTTATAGCTGAGTTTAGTGCAAACATGGTTGAAAATTTTGTTTCGATTTTAGTTAGTTTAATTCAAAATCTTAAAAGTTGTATTTGCTAATTTTTTTTTATAAAACTTGGGTTTTTATATTATAGCTATACAAAGAGTATAATTAATTTGTGTTTAAAAAGTTTTGCATATTCAAAATTAAAAATGTTTAGTAATTGATTATTAAATTTTTAATTAGTTATTATAATTATAATACAAGATTATTAAATTTTATTTGTTAATATGTTTTATTAACTTAATATTTAAATTATATTTATTGTAATAATTAAATATTTAAAAAATAATTGTAATATTTTAATAAAAAATATTAAGCAAAAATAATATTAATATTTCTTATGCATTAATTTATTTATTAATGATAAATTAATTGCTTATTTAATTGTTACAACTTTTAATAAAAAAAATTTTTTTGATTATTTTTTAAAATTTATAAAGTAATTAACTTATCTAAAACTTTAATAAAAACTATAAATACTGTATATAAAAAAAATAATATTTATTTTTATAATATGTTTTTTTTTTGATATTAAGGTAACCTCTTTGGTTTTTATTAATAACTTTTTTGGTAATGTGATTCTATGAACTACTACAGAAGAATATACAATTGGCTATATATATAACTTTTTTATATTACTTATTTAAGAAGTCTGCCCAAAGGTTCTCTACTAATTGCTGTATTTAATACTTTTACTTAGATGTTTTATCTTAAACTCTCTGAACCTGCAACCTGTGTTAATATTACTGAGTCATCTTAGATGTCCAAATCATTATCTTAATCTTAGGATTATTTTATTCTTAAGATAAACTCCTCAAAGCTTTTTGTACCTATTTTTACAGCTAATTTAGGTATTGCTATAGCAAAACCAACATTTGTAATTAGAACTTAATTATTAAACCATTATGTTTTTATAAAATTTACATAGATCTTATCATTTACTTTATAGCATAATTCCAGTACTTTAGCATAGAGGCCTGTATTGGGTCTTGCAGCCCAGGCCTAAAGCAAAATTTTATGATTGCAGGCTGAAAAATTTGCAAAACTTTATAATTGCAAATCAGTATAGGCCTAAAAATTTGTAAAATTATATAAAAAATTTTTGCAGACCAGACTGAGTTGAAGAAAAAATTTAATATATATAGATCAAGCCAGGCTGATAAAAAAATATTAATTCTAAATGCAGGTTAGCAAAAAAATATTAATTCTAAATATAAGTTAGGCCAGGCTAGAAAAAAAATTTTAACCCTAAATGCAGACTGGGCAAGGCTTCAAAAATAGGCAATTTGCAGGTTCCTATTTTAGCATATTCTGCTTTTTTACATGTTTTTTTTTTTTTTTTTAAATATTAAGGTGAGTACTTGTGACTCAGAATTTTATTAATAGTATATTTGGCTAATGATTGCTTTACAACCACAGGGAGCAACTATGAAGAGAGTATACAACTAGCCACTCATACAACTTTTGTCATTGTCTAATTTAAGTAGTCCGCCTGAAGGTTCTACACTAGCTGCCATATCTGGAACCCACTTGTAGGTTCCCTATTTAACCACTCTGTTTCTATATCCACCTGTCTACCTCTGCCTACCAACAACCTTGGTTGATGCTGATAAAAATATGCCATGACCACTAAGACTTTAAAGCAGTTCTTTGGAACCTTTGATCTTGTACTAAATCTTTCAAAATCTTCTGTATCCTATTCTTACAGCTGACTTGGTATTACTATGGCCAAGACCAATACTAGTGGTTAGGGCATACCATTAAACTGCTATGCCCTTATAGAGTTTACCCCAACCTTGGCACTTACTTCACAACATATCCTTACTATTTTGGTATTCAATTCAAGTTCCATCAAGCTGCCATTTCAGATAGCCCAGA